GTTTTTTCTTTTTTTTTCGCGAGAGTCACGATTTTGCTTCCGTGAGAGGCACGGTTGTGCTTTCGCGAGAGTCACGGCCGTGCCTCTTAGAAAGGGGAAAAAACGTGTTTTCTGTTTTTTTTCGCGAGAGTCACGGTTTTGCTTCCGAGAGAGGCACGGTTGTGCTTTCGCGAGAGTCACGGCTGCGCCTCTCGGAAACAAAAAAAAAAACAGTGTTTGCTGCTTTTTTCCCTTCCATGAGAGTCACGGTTTTACTTCCACGAGAGGCACGAGTATGGTTTCACGAGAGGCACGGACGTGCCTTTTTTGGAAAGGAAAAAAACCGTGCTTCTGATTTGGTTTTTTCGTGAAAAAAAGTTCGTCAAAACCTATCAACATGGAATCTGGTTTTGAAGATCTCTATACGAGGAATCCTATGGTGAAAACGGTTCGAGATTTGGATGCACAGTTTAAATGATTAAACGTTTTGAATAAATGGATCTACGGAAAAAAGGAAAACCCCAGATTGCGATAAGTGGCATATTATATGTGCGCCACTTGTCACGACTTGAAAAAGTGAACTGTTCTTTGCAACGAGTACTCATTAATTAGTGATTTCGGATATAATTCTCTATAGATTCTTAAGGGATACATTTTTTTCATTTTGGGCCGGCCGCTTGGACGGCTAGGGAGGCAGCCGGCCGCTCCCTAGACCCACGTCCATAAACAAACAGGGCAGCCCAACACGCCGCCAGCCCTCTCACTCATCGGCTTTCCTCAGGGAAAAAAAACTCACCCTGATCCAAACCTCAGACTTCCCCACCGTCGGCCGGCGCCGCCACACCCCACGGCCAGCCCGCCGCCATCCATCCTCGCCTGCGGCGATGTCTTCCCTGGTCCAGAGCAGCTCGCTCGAGCGCCTCCACCACGTCGAGAAGGTTAGCCGCTCACCCCCACTCCCCCCCCGGGTCTCTCTCTGGGTTGTCGATTAGGTTCTTGAATTTTGACGCGGCTACGCGTTTATTCCTTCCTGTGCAGCGGATAGTGCGGGTGCTGGAGCTGGCGGGGACGGTCATGGAGGAGCTGGGGAACTCGCAGGGTCCCCGCGGCGAGGCCGTCGTCGCCCACTGCCGCGAGTTCATGCTCTACATGAAGGTACCCCTCCCATCATCCATCCACCATCCCCGTCCGCAGATCTTTTCGCCCCATGCTCCTGCCTTGAAAACCAGGGGGAATGGATGGATTTGTTGCCGCAAGCATCTGGGTGCTATATACTAGCAGAACATGTGTGACCACCGTTTCAGGAGTTTGCTTTAAATTGCTTGCTGATGGATTGCTGTCACTTATCAATGGGGGGATGCTATGCTCTGCGAGGTATCCTGCTGCCCGCTGATAATACTATGCATGATGCACTGCTATTTCTGTGTGTCCACCCTTTTCCTTTTGATATGAGCTTATTGCCTTCTTATTGTTGGACTGCTAGTGCTCTGAACCGCAACCGGTTAGTTCCGTTAGACGATTCATCTTTTAGCTTCCATGAAGCACATTGCCCCATATTCGTTGACATGCTCAACCATTATTTTACATGCCTGTCTATTGCACGAAAATTTGCAATCTTTGCTCATTGAAACAAGTGCTTCTGATGTCAAGTAGTGATGTTTCTGAATTGAATGTTGTCTGCCTGTGTGCACCCTCCTGTGTGCAACCTTAGAGGCATTAAGGGTCTCATGTCAAATTCTGACCTGATCCAATGATACATTTCTTCCACCAAAATACTTGCCTTATGCAGGGACGAAGCTAGAAAAGAAGTTTGATGGGGTCATATATATGGCAGTGGGTTCGTCCTTCTATAAATGTTAGTGATTAGTACTAAATTAGTGAAGGATTTTCAAATTTCATTGGGGTCAACTGACCCCAATGCCTCTAAGGTAGCCCTGTCCCTGACCTTATGTGAACCAATTAATCCATGGCATTCATATGACTTTCTCAGTTCTGATTTTTTTTTGACATGTTATATTCGCCATGAGTGATGCATGATAAATTAATTCTATATTGTGGCTGGAGCAGGAAATTCAAACTACATTGCGTGAGGAAATAAAAAGTGCTTGTGAATACCGGCCATTTGAGATGTGTGACTACAGTGCAAGGATTGCTAACGAGATTTGTTGCAAAAAGCTGGAGTATGTGATTGAGAAGATGGATGCCATGCAACTGAACATTGAGCACAGCACCAATGAAGTTTAGCTAGTTTAACTGGCTATCTAGTGCCTGGTAGTGAAATGGTTAGTGCCAAAGCATCATGTGGCTTCCCCAACTCCAGTATCTTATGTTCCATTCTTGCTATACATATCGCATGCGTCCCATGGCTTAATGCAGTGAATGAATTATGTAGGGTATAAGTTGCAATATCCCAGAAAGAAGATGTATTTCAACTACTGCTGCTGCATATGCTGTTTGTTTCATATATATCACGTCTTACAGCTATTTCAGATCCTTCAGTTGTGTTTCCACTTAGTTGATTTCAAACTTCTTCTGTACCATTGACACCCTTGCAGTGTCACATTGGCTATAACTTTCAAGGCATACCTATAAATAGATAAACCACCATAGTGTAAGTCTGCCATCCAGATCATTACCCAATGGCCAATGGAGCCATGAGGTTTTGCTCGTTGCACGTTTTGGCTATGCCATTTTATAATGGGCAGAACTTTGAAGTTTGACTATCGTGTGACTCTTCATGTTCTTTCAAGTTTGGCTCCAGCGCCCGCACGTTTTGGCTATCATCAAGCTTTTGTCTTCATGTTCTTCTTTGCACTATTCATTGCCAAATGTGACATGACTTAGGAGCTTAACAAGCAATTACCAGACTAGGAAACAATAATGTGTTAATTTACACTTTTACTTAGCCCGGGCGCAACTGCGCAATGCTTTGTTCAACATACTCTGGAAACCGTGATGTTCGACTTCAGTGATTGATCTAGGAGGTTGTACAAAATGTTACTCTAGCTCTAGGATTGGTCATGGTCACTTGAGTCATGTCGAAAGACCTGAAGCGTGGTTGCACAAGAACATCTCCGTATGCAGCAGTGCATAGGCTGCTTCATCTTCAGAAGGAACTGCTGTTGGCCTGTTGCACTAATCTGTAGGTTTTTTCTGTATTTGATTTTCATGTGATCAGGCCTTAAGGGATGTATTTTTGAAGTTCAAACCTTGGACAAACAGAAATTTGATTAGGGGTTCGGGAAAGAAGATTCAGCAGATTGAAGCCATGGCACTGGTTTATTGTAGCTCACTAGCTCTTTACGCACTTGACAAGCATCTCAGTGGTGTACTGGCATTACATGCCTGACTAGGTGTGAGGAGTTTGCTTTAAATTGCTTTCTTATGGATTACTCTCCATTATCAATGGGAGCATGACATGCTTTGTGAGGTATCTGCCGCTGATACAGATAGAAGTACTACACATGTTGCATTGTTATTCTTGTTCGTTCCATGTATTCCTTTTAATTGAACCTATTGCCTTCTGGTTGCTAGAGCACTAGTGTCTGAACTGCAATCAGTTAGTTCCACTGGATAACTCTTCTTTTAGTTTCCATGGAACATTGCTCCATATTGTTTGGCATGCTTAACCATTCGTTTTCCATGCCTGTATCTGTACGTTGCACGAAAATCTGGAACCTTTGCTGACTGAAACAATTTCTTTTTTATGTGAGATAGTAACATTCTTGTATCTAATGTTGGCTGCCTGTGTGCGCTGCTCCTTTGGTTCTCGCAAAATCAGGATTATTTGGAAACCGATTGTTAAGGTGTCATGTAACATTCTGCTCTGACCCAATGATACATTCCTTCCACCTAAATACTCCCTCCGTCCGGAAATACTCGTCATCAAAATGGATAAAATAGGATGTATCTAGACGTATTTTAGTTCTAGATACATCTCTTTTTATCCATTTTGATGACAAGTATTTTCGGACGGAGGGAGTACGTACTAGCTAGCCAAGAAACTTATTTACAGCTATTTCAGATCCTTTAGTTGTGTTTCCACTTTGTTGGGCTTGAAGTTCTTCTGTAGTACTACTGAGACTATTGCAGTGGCAGATTGGTCATAACATCCAAGAAACTTATTTACTTACAAAACGTAACCGGTGCGTGACTGTCAATATGACATCGTCAAGTTATTTCAGTCCCCTGCTGTGTTGGTTTGCCATCCGGATCATTACCCAACAGCTAATTGAGCATCAGGTATGCCTCATTGCACGTTTTGGTTATGCCATCTCATAGTGTTGGGCAGAACTTTGAAGCTTGAATCCATATGAAACGCTCTAAATGGGTTGACCATCTTCGAGCTTTTGGCCTTCATGTTTTTGTATGCACGAGATTTCACGGGTCTTAGGAGCAGAGTACCATTAAGATTTTGGTTTATGCCTTGCACACATCCTGGAAGTGTTGTAATTTATGTCCAGACTTTAGAGTCTTGGAGGTTGCACACAGACACACAGTGCGTAGATTGCTTCATCTGGAATGCAGGTTTTTCCTGATTTGATCTTTGATGCGTGTGAAGTTGTCGATGCGGTTTCGAGACGTGATTTCCGTCAGTGTTCCGACATGACGACATGTATTTCGGTACAGAGGGAGTAGATAGATAGATGTAGTTTATAAAGCCATCTCCTATCTTCCCCTTAACAGTGATTATTCGAGTTCTGCATTTAAACCAAAAAGAAAACCTCGAACATTTAGCAGGATCTGTGAATCTGCATGAGTTCCGGTCGCCCGGCCTTATGATTCTGAGCGAGTTGAGTCCGTTGTCATGCTACCATCTGAATCCGAGATTAACAAAGCGGTGCACTGAAGAAGAGGGAAAACCTGCCCGGTGAACCTCGTTCATCGCCATGCCGTATCGCAAGACGCACCAGTTCCGGACGCCAAGTCCCGAACGCTGCAGCTGCGCGCCAGCCCCAGCAGCCCATCTGAGGCTTGCTTGACTGCTATCTTTGGGTGCAACAGTTAGCAACGGGGGATGCGTGCGTGTCTCCCGCTCAAGTGACACTGACGGTAACAGCCCAGGCCCATGCCCATGGAGCGAGTAGTGCCGGTGGGACGGGGTCGGGGACGGGGACGGGGACGGGGGAGGATCCAGCCGGCCGACTCTGGTCCAGCATCATGGCGATGATAGAATTCGGCGGTCCCCGTCCCCTTGAGACCTCCCGATTTTTCGCACGGGCACCTCGAAGCCACCCATGATTGGTTTCACTACATATACGTACTCAAGAGACACTATGAGTGGAATACACCACCACGTAGCCCGAGTCCGGTGCCTTGGCACACACAAGGCATGGATGAACAGTATCATGCCTTGAGGGCATCTCCTGGCCGTTGAATCTACAAGCGACGGTTCGAAGAATATCAAGAGTCACCGCTACAGTACATAGTTACAGGAAGTCTGCTACGGAGCGCACAAGTGGGCTGGTGCGCTTGTCTCCCTTTCCCGTGCAGGACAAGCAAGACAGACCGGGCACGAAGAGAGGCGGCAGCATTAGCAGCCCATCCATCATCTCATGACTCATCGTGGGGGACTCGGCCATTGCAATCGCCATTGAACCACTTCCTTGTGTCCCCTTCCTTCGTCTCCTCCCGCCGTTCATCATCGGGCCTTTCTCCAGCTACACCATCATCATGGCAGCCCTCCATGTCCATGACTTGGACTTGTACCACGCCAGTGTGACTCTTCCTCTTCCGAACACGAAAGCGTCGAAAACCACCACCGGTGCCATTCTTACACGGCAGTCCTCCACTTATACACTCGCTTCTCCTTAATTAATGCAATGGCAAAGCCTTTTCATCTATTAAAAGAAAGAATGAACGAAAGCTCTATTATCCATTGTCGGTCAGTGCAGTCGATGCCCATATATTTGCTATACCATGCGGGGTGACATGCAGTGGCGGAGCTTGGCCCAGAAAACTGGGCGGGCCGACAGTAGGAAAGAACTATTGGGATGGTGTTTCATGGCCCAAAAGTAAGTATACACTAGGAAAAATCGAATGGGCTGGGCGGGCCACGGCCCATTCGGCCTTGCTGTAGCTCCGCCACTGGTGACATGTATACATGCTTCTCATTTGTTGCATGAAACTTGCGGATACGGACTACTGTGATGGTAACATACTAACATCACATGTCATGTCATCCTAGCTAAGGTAGGGCCTGTTTGGTTTTAAATAAGTCACCAACTTATAAGTCGAAAAGTGAAAAAAGTGACTTATTTTGCCAAACGGACCCAACTTATAAGTCACCCCAACTTATAAGTCATAAGTTGTTCCATCCCAACTTAAAACTTATAAGTCACACCCTTTTGCTGTCCCATCATCTTTACATTAAAAAACAAAGTGAGAAGGTGTAGTCAGGTGACTTATAAGTCAGGTGACAACCAAACATGCGTGAATTATAAGTCATTGGTTTTAAGTCACCTGACTTATAAGTCAGGTGACTTATTGAAACCAAACATGCCCTAAATTCATGCACGATCGGTCAAGAGCACGATCGATTGGGGCGGCCGAATTCCATTCCAAACAGTTGGGCGCAGGTGGGTGTGGCAGGGCCTGGGGAGACATGCATGGCCGCGCTCCAAAAACCACCACACCACAAATGCATGGTCCAAGACGAGTCCGGTCGGGGATTCACTCGTCAATCACTCACCACTCACCAGCTGCTCTGCTCGCCACACCGCACTCACTAGCGACCTGCAGCGCGCCCGTGGTCCTCTCCTCTCCTCTCCTCACGACGTGGTGGGGTGAGAAAGAGAAGAGAGACGGAGACAAAGCCTGGTGAGAGAAAAGAGAGACGGAGACAAAGACAAGAGCATCTCTATTTCTATCCTGTCCTTCAGTAAAGAGGTAAAAGCACTCCAAGTACCTTAACTTGCGTAGAATGTGATGATTTAATCTCAAACTTACAAAATGCAACTTCATCATATCTCAATTTGCATTGAATGTGATGATTTAGTCCCCGGCCTATCACAGCTCGACAAGTGGCAGCTAGGTGGCTGGACCGGTCGTCACCCGCACTTTTGCAAGAAACACCCTGCCGTCTTCTCTAATTAACCCGCAGTACAGGAGAGCAGCTGAAATAATTCCACTTCAATTCCCACTCGCGTAGATGTGGTACTTACAGGTGTTGGGAGAAGTCTTGAGCGTGACACCCCACTGTCAGCACTGTGTTTCAATTTGTGCTGTTGATCAATACTAGAAAA